TTTGAACGATAGAATTTGTTAAAATTTTTTGTAAGTCTGTTTTTATACGTTTATATTAATCCTCAGAGCATACTTATAAATATTCTTTATATCTCGTACTTTGTGCAGTGATTCTAAGACCACCGCATCAATTAATTATATGACTCAATTGTACAACAATGGATTAACGCAATTTATCATTTATTAGTCGATCTTTATCATTTTATTATATTATCTTATGCTTTTCTTCAATTGGCATCCAATAATCACATAATAGTAGAAAAATATTATGTGGGTATATCAATTTTTACCAATTTTTATTACTGCTACATATTACAATATTTATTCATACATATGATAATTGTGTAACTAGACAAAATCCATCCATGTTATGTAAAAATGTAAAAAATGTATAAAAAAATTTTATAACGGGGAATTTTTTGTCTTTGTTGGACGCGTACCAATTTTACTCGCGCCATCGCACATCCATTATTTTCATACGATTATTTCGTACATGCTCGAAACTGGCGGCCACGCGTTATTTCTCGCGGTGGATGCCGAGCGTCGAGCTGACAGTGAGGGATTTTGGCGCATAGAAACGCGCGCGAAATCAAATTCGGCGGTTTTACCCTCCAAATTGGAGCCGTTTAATCGACGCCAAAGTGTCCGCGACAGAGCCTTTCCATTGTTATTTCGAATTGAATATACGCCGTTTTATGTCGCGACGCGACCTCGGTCTGTCGACGGAAAACCTGCATCGGCCATATCGAGTTGCATTTTGAACGGTTTGCGTGGATTTGACTTCTTACCTCGATTTAAAGATTAATGAATGCGCGTTATACGCGCTTTTCCGGAAAGAAATTGGAAAAAGTCATCATAGGTATGTATATTTCGAAGTAACAAGCGCGAAATTATATTATACGAGTATAAAAGAGAACACATATGCAAAAATAATTTGTATTACACACAAACATTATCGTCTAGATTTAATACATAAGCCCCCCCCCCAAAAAAAAAAAAAAAAAGAAAAGAAAGAAAAAATTGAGTAGCAAAAAAGTCGCTTGATGAGTTAATCCGGTTGAAGTCGTTTGTTCCGTACAACCTTATTGAATTAACTTCCGCCGTGCTGGCGTATCTAAGTAGAGTATCATCCTAGAAAGTCTCCCGGGCGAGCAATATATGTATAATGTATATAGCTCGGGAGAAATTAACTTGGGTGCTACGCGAAAGAGTTTCGATTCTGCTGCATAATACAGTTCGGGCCACGCGGTAGAAATTCCACGAGCCTTCCATCCCCGTAGGGATTCTCTGCGTACTTCAAATTTTCCACAAACGAGTTGCTAAGCGCGGCTTAGCTGGCCTTCTATGCAGCGGTTGTGCATTATGAAGCCTGGCCCTGTTCCCTGCCTTCGCCACCGCGAAACGGTCTTTCTCAATCGCGTTTTCTCTGCGAGAGATCCGTCCCTCCCTTCTATCCCCCTCCCCTGCCCCCTTTGTCACCCCCGCCGTCATATTCATTAACGGCGGCCAAATGACACGGAATTGTGGCTGAAAGTGCGCGTACTTTGCCGCGTAACAACGTTCGCCACGCTGTGCTGTGGTACTTGAAGAGCACAGCTACCCCTTTATATCGCTCGTGTATGCGCGTACGCGGGTGCCACTGAATGCGAACGTTGGCGCGGAGGAGCTTTTAAAAATATAATTGGCACGTCATGTGGAAGGCGAAAACACGAACCTCGTTGTGACGCGAGAGTGCGCGCGACTTTTTAATAATTACGCTGTTTTTATTACCTCACAATACGCGCGCGGCGTTAATGGCGGCGAAATTACGACACGTATTAATCCGCACGAGATGACAAATATTGAAGGACGAATGTAACGAAACTTGATAAAATATCTATTCGATAATAATAGCTAATGTAAAATACGCTTTAATGGCAGAATATAATAAATTAAACCACACATTGTATGTGAATTTTTTTATTTGAATTAAAAATTTCTGCCAATATTTTTAAAAATGTTCTTTCTATAAAATGATATAAAATGATAATGCTTTAATAAAATATATTTAATTACGTATTTGTGCAGCGAAGAAGATATAACACAGAGAAGGGATATAAAATAATTTTGAAACGATTACACGAATTTTATACGATGATATTTAAAGCTAGATATTAAAATGCAATCTCATCGATGAGGCTCGGTTTCACGGCACCAAACGCAGATAGCTAAAAGGCTAAGAATATATACTGTGGATGGACACTCAGAGCGCAGGTGTCCGTATGCAACACCTAACAATCAAATTAATGTTTAAGAATTTATTTCACGCACACCTGTGTAGAGAGGCGCGGAAAGCAATTAAAGTGTCGTGCGCCGGTCGCCAATTTGTACGGTTTACGTCGTTACGAACGAATAAATCCCCAGGACCCGGGCTGTCGTTACTTGCGAAGATTAGATTAACCGTCTCTTCATTTCGAGCGGAGACAGTTATTACCGCCGCAGGGCGTCTCGTGTCGAGAATAATCGTCCGATCGCGCGCGTTCTTGTCTATAAACGTGCCGCAGGGTGAAACTTCCATCTTGCGCCTCTCCGTTCCTCTTCGCCATCCATCGCGAATGCACGCCGAAGCTTATGGGCTTTATAGCTTACGATTAAAAGCGATGCTGTTTTCGAGTTGCGTCTGCATGTATACCGTTTCTCGATAGCAAACGATGTTAAATGCGAATGCGACTAAGCGTCGTCTATCTGCATGCTATCGATGGATACTTATTTTGATACGAAGTATATAAGATTAACTCTTCGGAAAATGTACTATTATGTCAAATACTCGAGTATCTAGGAAATTATAATATAACTAAACAATATTTAAAAATTTAATCAGTTGCTTTAATACCCTCAGTATTTCTGATTTTTGGTTTATACTATCTGAAAAAAATAATAATACTTTAAATAATATTTTAATATGAAATAATTAATTATATATATTTGTGCAGCGGAGACTGTTACAGAGAAAGGATGTAAATTAATTTTAAAATGATTACATGAATTTCATACGATGATATCTAAAGCTAGATAAAAATCCAGAACGTGTACATAACACGGATATAATTACATATTTAGAATTAGACAATATTGAATATTATTTAAATAGATTTCATATTTTATATTCACAGATAATGTTTTAGAACATTAGAGTATTATCCGTGACTTTTTGAACGGAAGAATATCCGGATACGATATACATACGAAGATATACGATAAGACACGAATCCATATTGGCAGCACTATTGTATACTTTTGCGCCGTTCATGTCTCTATTAAAAGCTGCCTCCAATCCTTTATTTGCAGTCGATCGTCAATTCGCGATTGTGCCAAAGAAATTGGTTTTCAGATGCGATCGCGATCGATTCGCGGATATATGGGAATTGTTTTAAAAAATTGCGGTATCTTCTTTCATATTTTTTTTTCACATATTTTTCCTTACTGACAATGTTTCGCGCAAATCGGGCGTGATTAACTAATGGATGTATCTGTCCGGACCGGGGAGGACTCGCGTCTCTACCCCTTTCCTCTTCTCTTGATGCACTCGTCAGCGGAAAACGCTGCATCGCGTCGCGTCGAGCGTACGCGTGCGACTTCTTATCATCGGCGCGTTCAATGCATAAAGCATAAAGTTCGTATCTCATGCATACATTCATAGAGCTGTCGGTGCGGCAGCGATGGCGGGAGCGAGACGAAAGTCATAACTTACGGTACGTCCCATACCTCTCGTTCTCCTCCCCGTGCACATCCCGTAACCATCGCTGCGAGAGGTATCGAAACACTCGCAAAATCACCGAAGGGTAACTGTGGCACGTATGATGGCTGGCACTCCTCGCGCAGGTTCTTGGTTGCGCTAAAAATTCCATTTTCCAGCGAGAAAATTCCATTTTTCCATTGAATCTGTCCTTCTCTCTCATTCTTCATCGATTCATTGAAAAATAGTCCACTTACCGCGGCCTCTTTTTGCAATAAATCAATCGCGCCTTTCCGACTGTGCCCCATAATCATCCCCTTCCGCTTCTCTCTCTCTCTCTCCATCCATCTTTCATTTTTCTTCGACGTAACTTTCTTCCTTCGGACTCACCTCGATGCACCGACCGAGGGTTGGATTGTCTTCCGAGATGGCTGCTGACAAATAGCGAATCGATCGTCGCAACCGCCGCCGCCACCCATCGGCTGTTATGCCATAAAGCTGCCGCAACAAAGCGTCGTTTTGATGCTTTATGGGCATCGCAGGCCGTTGGCGGGATGACGTTGTCGGGATGGATGTGCGCGGCGGCTTGGATTGGCCGCGAGAGAACGATGTTCGTTTAGGGGATGAAGCGGCAGGCGCATCGTGTTTTCATGCAAACTCGACACGGACAACGGATTTCATTCGCGTGTGTTGGACGCACAATAGAATTTTAAAGGCCTACTAAAAATTGAGTCTTTTCTTGTCAATCTTGGAATGTCACGCTCGTGTAATTGACTGACATATATTGTACAACGTATGACGTACTGACACGTCACTTATTCTATATGTAAAACTTATATCTCAAAATATATTAAAGAAATATAATATATAATATATAATTTATAATAAAAATGTAATATATAGTTTAATATATATAATATATAATTTTTTATAATTTTTCTAAACGTAATAGAGCCTGTGAAAAAAGTGTAGATTGAAAATGCAAAATAACATATGTATAAATTTTTTCTATAAACGTACAAATATTTTTTTTATTATTAAAGGATTATAAAAAGAAAATTTCTCTAATTAATTTAAAGCTATCTTTCTGATACTTGCATTTTCAATCTACAGATTTAAAAACTGAGCGATAAAGGGAAATGTATAGATATTTATTCTTATTTTAATTAATTATCATCTAAATTAATAGTTATTATTTGAAAGATGAGTTGTGTTTGTGTGATTGGAATGAAAGTTGATACATTTGTTTTTACATCGTTCCAAATGCGCGATTAGTATAACATACTACTTGCAGAAGGCTATAGTAGATCATAGATTGATTTGCGTTGGGAGCAGGTGTGATCCGTCTAGGACCGATGGCTGCATCGACACTTTCTTTCATCACGTGACATGCGAGGGAATAAAAATTACTCATTCACGGTTTTACCGACATCGCGAAATGAGTTGGCCGATATTCCGTCGATGAGAAAAAAATGTGCTTCAGAAAGAAACAATTACGTTGTCTCGTAAGGGTAAAAATTCCGCAATAAGGAAGGTATGCAAAAAGTTTCTTTACTATCAAAATTAATATTCAAATAATTTATATTGCATATAAAAATATATCAATTTTTTATAATTCAAAAATAATTTTAACAAATACATTAATATCAAATATTTGCAAGAGAAGAAAGATTTATTTTCATAATTTCTTTTAATTTTTCTTTTATATATATATGCAATTTTTGAATTAAACAGAGTTTTACAAAAATTACAAAATTTTAGACATGACATTAAAATTATTCGACATAGCGTTTACTTTTCCAACATAGTCTTTAGTTGTAATTGTCTAATTTTGGTTATATATGTGTGTAATTTTTTAATGCATATATTATTAAACATATTATTGTTACAAAAGTGGAAAAGTTTAAGACATGACATTGAAGTTATTCGACGTGGCATTTACTTTTCCAACGCAGTGTTTGAAAAGTTCAAACAAACAGTAATCTGATAAAGGAAATTGCGGATTGTACTAGCATCATTCGACCATAGAAAATACAGCTTTGTTACTTCAAAATTCTCTTTCAAAGAAAAACGAAGATTAAGTGCATCTTACTTTGCAGGTAACTTGTGCCTTCCTAAAAGCTTGCTATTATTTCGCTTGCGTTGTGTATTTTTCGGGTACTTTTATTGCTGATAAAATAGACATATTTTTCTTTGAATATTTTTCTTAAAACATTTTTATCTCCCTATTATCTCTATTAAAAACGCATGCAACCGACTTATATTACTTAACGTATTTTTACATTTTCTTTCTTTAATTATATTTTATACTCTAAATAGAATCATTGTATTATCACTGATATAAGCAATGTTTTCACTTATAAGTATAAATATCATTGCAAACAGTGAAATCTTCCTAAAAAAATGTTTTTGTCGATTCAATTTAAGAGAGCAGATCCTTATACCTGCCCCCTCTTCTGTTTCAGAGAATCTCCCCGATACGATAATTTTTTATCCCTTTATTTCTTTTGAGTCGGGAATTTCAAAAAATCGGAGATAGACATGCGCATGCTTCTCACTGATGTTTAATAGGCCCTTATTCATTGTTTATTGGCGGCTGTTCATTAGAATCGAATCGCGCGCGTACGCGATGCTTTCACGATTTTCAACAGCATCGAAATTACGAAGGATGCCTTTCTCTCGGCATAACTCTAATTGGTGATAGGATATAACTATCACGGGATGATCATTAATTACAGTTGGCGAGCTCCTGGCGTTGCGGTTAGTTTGCTTCGAAGCTAGTTTCGATCTTTCTCACTCTGTCTCTTTCTCTCTTTCCCATTGTGTAAAACTGCATTATTCCGCGCTTATGCAATTGGCCGAGCGCACGAGAACGTCAAGCAGTTCTTTGTTAGGTTTAATAGCGCCGATCGATTTTCGTCGGCTCTCCCGAGCAATTTCTCATATATATTAATGCCCCAATAGAGAGAAAGTGAGAGACAGAACTCTCTTCTTCTCTCGACGCGCGCTTGTTCGGGGCAAATCAAACTTCGTGGCAAATAGGTCTCGGCTCTTTCTCCCTCTGTCTCTTTCTCTCTTTCCCTCCACTTCCGCTATGCTACCCTCGCTCGCCTTTTTTTTCACAAATCCTTTCACCTCTGCAACGTCGAGGGTATCAAAAGAGTTAAGACGAACGATAATTAAAATTGACGCGTTCTATTTCTCTCTTTTATTAAGAAAACAGTAATGTGGAAAGCAGAAAGCGAGCGACGTGAATTATAGAGAAAAATAAATTTCCCGCGGTGGAAACTCCAGCAAATCGCTGAGTCAGTTTCCCATGATCGCCAAACTAGCATACTCATCACCGTACAATCATGACCAATTTGCGCAAAGTACAAAGTCAATTAAATGAGATTGGCTCTTTCTGTAGCAAAATACAGCTAAGAGAAATGTTGCGGTGATGATTGTTGTATTTCTCGATAATGGGATATTTATTTATAGCGTTTACTTTGCAAACATACAAATATAAACTTGTTGAAATATACGAAGGCAATTATTTAGATTCCTTTAATTTATTGACAAATATAAATAGCAATTTATATTTTATATATATATATATATATATATATATATACTTTTTGACATATGAAGATGTTGTTTTCTATCTTTGCTGACAAATATTTTTTGTATATTTTCAGATCGCCGACTGGTGTCCCAAAGATTCATCAGAAAACTGATCGACTCTCATGGCAGCGCGGAAACTCGCAGCCCTCTTTGCCGCGGTCCTGCAACTGTGCTTATGTGAGTGAGTCTCTTTTTCTCTTTACATTTGCTCAATATACCACACACACAAACTAAAATTTGTACAGTCCGCTTATCCGAGTTAGGTTGTTTCGGACGCGGCGACGTAACAATGCACGTCAAATATAGAATGTAGGAGGATTCACACAAAATTCAAGCTTTATAATTTTACAAGAAATTAATAATTATTTTCTCGTACCACACACATTTTTATTTTTTAACGTGTGCTTACAATTCATATTCGATACATAGATCAATTATTCAAATTTTAAGAAGTTAGATAAAATATTTGAAAAAAATAGAGAATGTGCTATTTCAATATGTTTCGTCTCTCAAAAACAAAAAATTTTTAATCGCGTTTATTCTTCTCGACCCGCTCGCAATATTATTCAGACGTCACGGTATTTCCGAACTCGGGAAATTCACGACGGTTCTCATAATTCGATGAAGGAACCGGAAAGCCAGGAAGAAAGCAAAATTGACCGTCGTGACACCGATAAAGCCGCGTCATACTGTCGTGACGAGAGAAAGGACGAGATTGAAGAGTCAGGAAAAAGAATGAATCGAAGGAGCGATCGCACAGGCGTCGTCTTCAACCGTATGACTTTCATGAGGAGAAGCCACGGAAATTCTTCCAATGTCGTATAACAACTTTCCTTTCCGCGATATTGTTTGTTCTGACGACAACGAGTATGCTGAACC